AAAACATTTAAAATTGAGAAATTTTATGTTTTTAATCAAAAATAAAGCCATTCGAAAAACCCTCTGGTAAATACAATGGAGATCAATGTATTTACCAGAGGGAATGCTTTCAAACAATTTCCTGACTTTTCAATATTTTTTGTTTGTTTAAAACTTCTTCTGTTTTTTCACCCATGCCAATTGAAGAGTTCAATGAAGCTATGAAAAGAGTTCATTATTGGGATATTGCTGAAAGATATGAGGATATGGCAGAAGAATTAAAGTTAGTCATAAAGCTAGCTAGGGAAAATAAGATGGAGCTGAATGCACAGGTCAGAAATTCTTTCAGTTTAGCATTCAAGAATTTAGTAAGTGTTAGGAGAAATAGCTGGAGAGTATTGAATTCTGAGCAGCAGAAATTTCAAAATTTGCAGCACCCAAATGGACAGAATTCTCTTCATGAATATTCTCCAGAAGATCTCCATATTGCAGATGAATTTATTCAAAAGATTGAAACTGAATTGCTTACTTACTGTGATATGGTTTTACAAATTATTGATGATGATATTCTTCCAGGAGCCAAAAAGGTTGATGACTTGGTGTTTTTTCTAAAAATGAAGGGGGATTATTTCCGATACAAATCAGAAGTACAGTCAGGAACAATACAAAGTGAAACTAGTGCAAAAGCCTTGAAGAATTACGAAGAAGCCAAGGAGAAAGCAAATTCTTTGTCCTCGACAAATCCCATTAGGCTGGGACTTTATTTAAATTATTCTGTATTCTATTATGAAATATTGAATGACACCGAAAAGGCTTGTAAAATTGCACGGACAGCATTTGACACAGCCATTTCAGAACTAGATTTGTTAAATGAGGATTACTATAAGGATTCTACACTTATTATGCAACTTTTGAGAGATAATCTAACATTATGGACTTCTCGATCTGATGCAACCCGAAGTGGAGATGAGAAGCAAAGTGAATAAAAGTGTTTGAAACTTTAATAAACCAAATAGAACTATCAACTTTGATAAATTAATGTTGGCTTCGATGTATTATAGTTGATATGTTATTTTTAGCGGTATAGAATCGTTTAAATATTATTTACATTCGTTATTATTATTAAATCTTTTTGTTTCACAAGAGATATTAGTGGCTTGGACTTGTATTTCAGCTTGGAGTTTGGAATAAGGAAGTTTATACTTATTAAAATAGAATTCATTAATGGCATCTGTAATCTACTACAATCATATTTGTCATGAATAACTTTAAATAAAAAGATGATTAGGCAATTATTGTAATATGACTGGATTAAATGAAGTCTATTTGTGATAATACTACAAATCCTTTTTTGAATTAAAATTTTCTAAAGCTAGCCACATTATAAATTTTGTTTATCCTCTCTTTGTTAATCCTCTCTTTGTTACTAAGAAATGAAGTTTGAAAATTTTTAATTAAAAAAGTGAACATACCAGTGCGGACAGTATTCACTGCTGCGTTTCCGCCCTGATGCATTCCCCATCGCTTTACAAATGTGTTTCAACACCTTAAAGTGCATAGCCACATCATCACCAGATTTCACTAGAATTTTAGGCATAGCCAAGAAGCGATCTCTCTACTCCAATCTGTAAGGGTGTGAAAATATTTATACTTACATTTGAAGCATAATAGTTGAATAAGGTTGGTAGAAGGATGTTATTTTATATTTCAACAAGAGCTATGGCATTTTCAATGGAGAAATTCTACTGAAAACTGGAATATGCGATACTTTCAATAATTTTTTTCATTGTTGAGTAAATTCACACAATACCGACTAAGATAAAACACAATATTAATTTTAATAAATAAATTGTAATATGATTAATAATTTGGAACAGAACCCTCACGATAAATAAGGATTGTAAAGAGCCGAATACATGGCAGACTACTGTTAACTTCTAGCAAATTATGTCGTCAAATTGATTCCAAAATTAAATTCCTAAGTTTCCACATTTTTTAATTATTCATATTATAAATTATTATTTATTTCATTTTCTTTAATAAACTCCTTAATAATATTTAAGGATATAGGAATTCTTGAAAGCTTATATTTGTAGCTCCTTTAAAGAACCAAATCCTTTTTTAGAGATTAACTCCTTCCTTTAATTATAATATGACGATTTCCTTTTACCCCATGATTGATGAACCGTCCAATGACACAAATATTTCTACCATACCAAGTGATGCATCACTTGAAAACAAAGTTTCTGACATTGCAACAACAACTTCTACCAAATTTAACCCATACGAACTGTTTATCAATATGATATTATCTTTTTTATTTGCACTAGGCTTTTGGTGTATTAAAGACTTGGATGTCGATACAGACTTCTATAAAGATCATTCACGTGTTAAGGAACTAGTACTAATCACAAAGGGATTGATTGCCATACCTGCTTGGTATTTTCTAACTCAAGCTATAATTTTATCAATACTAGCAGTTCTAAGAAGTCGTAATATTCAACAGAACTTTATTATGGGGCTTATTAAAGCAAATAAGATGTATATTGGATTCCTTGTTGCACTTTTATGCAATAATATGTTTAACGTACACAATTTAGGAGACATGGGAATGGAAAAAGATACGGAGAAAATCAGTGAAAATATTACTGTTTTGGAAAAAGCTAAACATATGACAATCAGTAAACATATGACAATTTTAACAAAAGCTAAGCAAATAGAATCTAGTATCAGCTATGTTTGCATGGTATTTCTCTCTAAAGGGACGGCAATGTTTCTTCTGAATCATAACATTCATCATAAATATTATTATAAAAGAATTAATGAAAACTCGGAGAAGATGGAATTACTGAAAATTTTAAGTGGATTGGTAGATTCTACTGGAGAAGAAACCATTAATGAGATCTGTGAAAAATTAATTGCAAAAGTTGGTAGAAGTGATGAAATGATTCATTTCGCTGAACTATCCAAATTTGTAGGTATAGATGTGGCCAGAAAAATTTTTAACAACTCTGATCCTTCAGGTGATATGAAAATATCATTAGATGAATTGATTGGCTTCTTTAAAACAACTCTGGTAGAGCGCAATCAACTAAATATTGGATTGGAACAGAATAGTTCTTCCATAGATTCTTTAAATGATGGACTATTTATTGGATGTATAGTTCTATCTGCAATAATTTTGTGGAATAAAATGAGTGCTAAAGGCTCCTTAGCAAGTAGTGGAGCATTTTACGGTGGAGCTCTTCTTTCTGGAAGTTACTGTTTTTCAGATACATTCAAGAAGTTTAGTGATTCTTTAGCCTTCGTATTTATCCTTAGGCCATTTGAAGTGAACGATACAATCCTTATAGATGGAAAGAAGTATAAAGTCAAGGAGATCAAATTACTAGCATCTGTTTTCTTGAGGGACAATGTTATTGTTTCTTGGGCAAATAATGACCTGTATAACAAGCCAATATCAAATTTGAGAGCTAGTACTTCTTCTGATGAAAGGTATGTGTTTGTTTTTAATTCAACAGAGTTCAAACAGAAGAGTCCAATTTTGAGAAAGACTCTAAGCTCATTTGTAAAGAGACATGCTGCAATGTTTAAAGGGGCGCCATATTTCGATCGAATCGCTATTTCAGGGAAGGATAATATTGAAGTGACCGTAGTTGTGGAGTTCAATATGGAATATCAGGAGCTAGAGGTTATTGATCAACGAAAGAATACATTCGTAATGACATTGCATGATATTCTCAAAGAGGTTGACTTACTTCCTGTTGGAAAATAAATTGAGTGCTTAGTTGATTCATCATATCATTGAATTTTTTTTGATTTGTTCATTACAATAGGATATGGATGCTACTTATTGTGGAAATTGTTTGAAGCATAGATCATAGTTAAGTAATTTTGTTAAATGCGAAGGACGTCTATCTTTAGATATGATTTCGGCCCAAACCCCTTAATTTTTATGAAAATAAGTCCAATCTCTATTTGTCATTAAAATAACATTAACTAATAAATCAAAAATGATTAATTTGCAGGATTCTTAACAATGATAGTATAATAGCTCCAAACAAATAATCTGAAATTAAAATTTATTAATATAACTTATACATATTGTAATTTAGGTTATGGATTGGAGGAAAGATCATCTTATTAATTTTACATGAAATTCCAACTGACATCGGGCTTAGATTTCTAGATATAATATATAATATGGGTCAAAGCAAAATAATCTTAGGAATAACAAAGCATTTACTGAATTGATAAGTTCTATCAACAGTACCTAACTAACATATACCAATACGTTATTAAAAATCAATATTAGTGACTTGATAGTTGATGAAAAATAACTGTAGACTAGGTTTACTTATAACTGTATGGTTTACCAATTTCAACCGAATCAACTTTATCTTTTGATGAATTCATCTTCTCTGATGAATTTTCCCCCATCATTTCTAACTTGAAATCATTTTCTGCCAATACTTCTTTTACAATATTTTTAATGTCACTTTTACTAACATTCGAATCATTTTGGTTAGATTTGATTTTCTTCGTTTTAGGAACCTTCTCCAAAGAGGACTTCATAGATTTTCCTTGTTTATTTTCATTTTTTATAGGTTCCTCCATACCACCTTTACTACTATTTGGCGTACGATTTAACCTATCAAAGTGTTGACTCTTATCTGATATTGTTCTGTTTGGAGTTTCGTCAATTTCAGTATTTACTATAGAGTAATTGCCAACTGGTATGGACGTAGAAGTGTGGTTATATGCATTGCTTGACATTTTTACTGTTTTAATAGAAGATGGTGTTGTACTGGTCTGTTGGCTTTCAGGCTGAATTTGAGTCCTAGAGGGCTTTATACTATAAGATGGGCCATTATTGTTTGTGTCAGTATTCTTTGTAGAGTTAGCTGGTGGTTTTTTAGATTCTCTATAGCTAGTTTTATCCTTTGGGGTATTTTTAATTTCAGAAATTATTTCATCTTTAAAATCTTTTAACATTTTTGGAATAAGTTTCTTCACTTCATCTACAATATTTCCATTAGTTGACACTTTGCTATCCGTTGATAGTTTGGATGGAACAGATGATGTAGTTCCAATTGTTTCCATTCTAACAGTTCCGAGTGTTTCGGGTGATGCAATACTTCTAGTATTATTTATCATGTGTTCATTAGAGACTGTATTCCCATGTAACTCCTTCATCTGGCTTCTACTATTTCTTACAGGATACCCATTATCTATATCGAAAACTTGTGGACGAATCATTTCACCAGGCTGACAATGTCTCGAATCTGTGCATTCCGATTGACTTTGATCAATTATTCCATACCCAAAATCCTTTCTTTTTCTATCAGAAATGTCCAATATTGAGGTGGCCCTTTTCGATTTATCAAGTCTATCATTATTGTTTGGTTTGATATTGTCTTCACCAATATCCTTTTGATCTCCATCTTGTTCGCTGTCCGTTGGTTTCAACAGTATGACATATTTATCATTTTCCATCTGTGGAGAATATCCGTCATCAATATATTTATTAAGCATTCGATAGTCTTGATAGTTTGGCAGTTGCTTGTTACTAATTCCTTTGCTAAATATTTGAATCCAATATCTATTAGATTGGCTATCTTTGCAGGTAGACACTCCTGTAAAAGTAAAATCTCCCAGAATATTCTTCTTGTGCTCCTCACTTTTTATCCACATTTTTGCAACTTCCTCATAATCACTTCCCTGTTGCTTTGCAATGTTTTCTCCAATATTTATTCCAAAGAAGTTTTCCCTCTTCAATCGAATCTTTAATGATTTGTCATCTTTGGATCGATGTGTAAGCGCCTTGATTTCACACATGTATTTTATCTGTTTTTTAGCCACAGCTACAAGAGCCTCATTTTCCACGAGAGCCTCCATATTATTTCTTACTCTAAAATCATTTGTATATCTAAGCATATTTTGAGAAAGTTTATTCTCTGTGGATGGCTCTTCATTTGATCCTGCAGTGTCTACTTTTTCCAATTCTGAATTTTTACACAGAGTTACAACAACGGAAAATAGCAGTTTCCTATTCATTCTTTTAAAAAACCCAATCCATTTAATTTTAAACAAAATAAAACAAAATGTTTCAAAATGAATAAACATATGCTATGACAAATAAAAATATTTTGGAGCCAATAATGTTCTAAATTTTGGGTATCATCATAATGACTGTTGCAGTTATGTAATTGATTAATGATATAGAGCAATTACCGGCTACTTTATAGTTCCAATATTATCATAAATATCAGTGCAGTATTGAATTTATATTTAAAATAGCACGGACCAATTTGTATAATTACATTTCCATTCAATAGAACATCTTCATAAATATTGTGCTTTATTTTGTTGATTGGTCTTAAAAATTTACCATTTGGTTGAGGATTTTCAAAAAAATAACCGACCTTCATACCAAATCAAGCTATTTTACAGATATTGAGTAAAACCTGGTCTAGCAAATGTATTGTATAATATCTACATCCGTTTTGGTATGAAAACAAAACAAGAAAGAGTAAAAATTAAAAAATTGTACGAAAATTCTATTGTTGAAAAAAGGGTGCTGAGCAGAAATAAGATAATTAAGAACATTATAGTGTTGATCATACTCTATTAAACTAAATTTATAATCAAACACTATTATAAAGCAAAACTTTTAGTAAAATATCGCTGGGGCATGAATCACAGATACAAAAGTTCGGTGGGAAAAACCCAGCTTGGGGTTAAAAAGAAAATTTTTTAAAAATTCTGATGATAGCCTTACTATCTAAGTCTAAGTATTAGAATATTAAGTTGTATGCTTTTATATTTAGTTATAAGCTGATACCAGACTTATGCTATCAAATATTGTCGAATGAGATTAGTTAATTGGTAAGAATTAAAGGAAAGGGAACAGATGTAGATATGAAATGAATGCAATACTTTTAAAGCTTCTTACACATTAGTGAAGTACTACAAATTTCAATGATATCACAGAATACTTTTTTGATTAGTTAGATTTTTGAAATGATGACTGAATGTGTCTAAGAGACTTTCGAAAAATAAATTGTTTTAAATCAAATATTTTTATTTTATTTTGTCTCTCATTTTCAAAGAATCGTTAATAATGTCATAAACTGCTTTAAAAGCTACTCTTTTACTATTGAGACAATTTAGAACCAAATAATGTTCTGTAAGTATTACATTATAATACATAGTTAGTTTAAAATAACATTCTTCATTTTCATGAAAATAACTACAAAAATAACTCTTCTCGTTGGCCTCGTAAATGATATTCTGCTTCAAGAAAACATCCAGTATCATCTTCTTAAGGGACTTGGAGTTACTAATGTTCTTTACCTTGATTCCCTTAAAAAAGCCTTTTAGATAAGATTTTCTAACATTTGGAAATGATGAACTATTACCAATATGCGTGGAAGAGATGGATTTTGGAGAATTCATTGTAGAGTTTGTCTTAAATATACTTTTGGTAAAGTATCTGGAATATGGATTTTCTGACTCTTCAGCCAAGATAAAATTAACAAAGTTTTGTAAAATATTCGGAAGTTGCTTACTTGTAACCTCAGTTTCTTTCATAGCACTTATTTCAACATTTTGCTTTTTGATTGCCCGTTTTCCACAATCATTAGTTCTTTCGAGTATCAGGTAATATAGTGACACGGTGGGCTTTTTAGACCAATAAATTTGCTCTAAAGATCCATTTCCGTTTTTACAAATTTGAACAAACGTATCCAACTCATCCTGAACATTCGAAAACTGAAAAGATGTGGCTATGGAAAGAGCTGTCAAAATTGTTTTGTTTGTGTTTTTTAGCGGATATCTTGTGCTCATATAATTACTAATTTTCGATTCATAACCTTTATTTATCCATACAGATGATTTAATCTGTTCTATACCATATCTACCAGCAGAATTTGCCATAATCATATTTAATATCAGATCTTTAGAGTCATTGGAGATCGATCTTAAAAAATCAAATTCGCAGGCTTTGATTTTATTCTGAAGAGCGTGAATACTTTCATCATCAAAGGGAACACGTCCACATAGCATGACATATAAGACAACCCCCAAGCTCCAAATGTCGATTTCAGGACCACAATATCTCTGTCCCATTAACAACTCCGGTGCCGCAAAATATAAACTTCCACAAAATGTAGATAATAATGTCTTATTATCATAAAAATTAGATAACCCAAAATCGATTATACGAATATTGTCATCTTGATCAACTAGAATATTTTCTATTTTCAAATCTCTGTGTACAATAGAATTCCTGTGAATATAATCAATAGCTGAAACAATTTGTCTGAAATATCTTCTGGCATCATTTTCACAAATTTTAGAACTTTTAATAACCACGTCATATAGCTGTCTGCCACTGACATACTCAAACACAACAAAGAAATGGGTAGAAGTAAACATAAAATCCAATAATTTTACAATATGTGGGTGGTTTAACAATGATGAAATCAATATTTCTCGAAAAATCCGTTTTTCTGAAATCATATTTGAATCTCTATCGATTATTTTTATGGCTACACTTTCTCCAGACTCTGGATCAACAGCTAAAACAACTTTTGCACTAGAACCTTTCCCCAAAACTTTGATAATTTTATAATGTCCTATGGATACATTTTCAACATATTCGACATCGTCATCAACTGAATGACTATTCGAATTAAGATTGTTGACCCTCATCTTCGTCATTTTCTGAACTATTTCGTTTTGCTCTTCTGGTTGAGATGAGGATTCTGCAATGGATCTAGATTCAGTGGCTATAATCGATTCTTTATTTGTACATAATCCTACAGTTTCATTGCTCTGCATACTTCCATCGATTTCCAGGGATATATTTTGTAAATTATTATCTAATTTATCAGAAAGAATGCTATTCTGCTTTAACTTAATACTCTCTGTTTGACAGTCCATTAAAGAATTGATTTCAGAATCTAGAGAATTAATGTCGGAATCACTGTTCTTATTAGAAAATTTCATAGCTGTTGAACCTTAAGGTTTTTTTAAAATAAAAGCTTAAAGGGGTTTTATCAATGGAAATGGACCAATCCGGCATAGATCAATTAAAACTACTTTTTATTTTAAGGGGTATCGATATCTCTTCAGATATAAATGTGAGCCGAGATTTTCATTGATATTGGTTTAAGTGTTTATAGATAGATCTGTATAATTCTTATCGAATATGTTAATTACTTTATTTGATAAATTAAAATTTAGTAGCTCTTTTCTTAATAGATTTTGAAAGGATAGCGGTTAATTGTTTCATATTGACTTGGAAGCCTATTAATCTCTATCCTTGATTATCTAGTAACAAAATGTTTGTTATTTATTGGGTTCCTTTGAATATGCTATATTTAATATTTTAAGTGTAATCGATCAATATGCATCAAAACTATTGATTATTTTGAATATACGACTATTAACAGAAATTTCCCAGTTAAATTCCTTTAACTTTGTTAATACAGCCATCCAACAATATATTTGTGTCTCTCATTCTGTCTATTGATACTTTTTCTTTATTTTTTATGTAAAAAACTAGCATTGACTATAAACAGTTATTTCATTATAATACTCAGCAATAAGTTTGTTTAGCCCAGTTAATGGTATTGCAAAGTTGAAGTAATAGTATTTCACACTTTCCAATCCGAAAAACTCACATTCTTTTGGCTTTGTCTGATTTATTTGAATAAAGTTATACATCAACAATTTTAATTTGAGAAACAAAACAATATTTCTATAGGTTTTTTAGTACCAGTTTAAACAGTTGAATTAATGATAACTTTAAATTGAAAACCTTTCTACAATAAATATTATAACAGAATATTAACTTGTATTATATTCTTTCTTAAAATATTCTAATTGGTTTTTGATTGGTAAAAAGTATTTTTTTGATATTCGAGAAACAATGTTTTTCAACCTATATAGATATTTTTATATAGGGAGCTTATTTCAGATAGGGAATTATTTTTAATTTATCACATCGATTACTTACAATTTCATTTCTAAGATCAAACACTCAACAATAAAATTCAAATTTGTATAGTTAAATATATAAGCGTACAAATAACTTTCGAAACACTCAACCTTTTTGATTTTTCTTAAATATACTTCTAGAATTTGTCCTAAAAAATTCACTAAGATCTATTTTGAGCCTATCCATGAAACTTGTAAATTAAAATATCAATATTCTAGAAATGGGAATATACATTGACAAATTTATTTATTACTAGCATATTATTCACAACATATGATGAGTTAAAGAAGAAATTACCAGGTTTATTTTGATGTGAAACTTCTGTAACCAATTTCTTCATTTTTATTTGACATTTTTAGAGAAATACCAACTTTGTATCAATATGCTTTTTTTAAAGATTACAAATGCATTGCTTGCCACTTCTGGGTATATTTTTAAACCATTATAATTTTTTACTTAACTTTTATAAATTATTCGTTCCAAAAAATTACTCCTTTGGCTAATTAAAAAAAAACTATAAATATTAATTTTTTGTCCCACAAAATGGCAGACCAGAATTTTTATAGCTACGAATCATTATTGGATAGCTTAAAGGATACACATGAGGCAAGGAAAAAACAATTCGACGAAAATGCACATTTGCTCTCATCATTAGACAGATCCCTTCGGGATGCACTATTTAGTCTGGAGGAGGAAACCATTCAGGGTCAAACTATAAATGCTAAAGAGGTTCGTTTTAATTTTGATGAGTTTATGAACGATTTAAGTAATGCTGAATCCAACGAAATACAACAATTTGAGAATGCAGATATTATTTCCAGCAATGTTGATCGAAAGCATGTATGTCCCAAAGCAGGTTGTAACAAATCATACACAAGTTCCCATGGATTGAAATATCATATTGTCCATGGGCACTCGAAGGAAAAAGAGAATGCATACAAGCCGTTTATTTGTACAGTTAATAATTGTAAAAAAGCATATCGCAATTCTAACGGTTTGAAATACCACATGGCTAAAGCACATAAGCAATAAAGTTTTATATCGTATATTAGTAGTATTGTGATGAATAATTTGATAATAATGCATTGCCAATTTCTACTAATAATTTACAGAGTTAATGGACTTCTAAAATAAATCTACTTAATTCAATAATCAATTGTTATGATGTGTTATAAACTGCAGTGATATTTCTTAAGGAGAATCACTTTACTTACACAACAATTTTGCAATAAACAATCAACTGACAATTAGCGCAGTATTAATTTCTCATTAGAAAAGAAGCATTTATAATAAAAATACTCTTAATAATCTTTTATTAGCTTGCCTTCATAATTAGATGGATATTCCTGCTTATTAATAGCTATCGAGTATTTTAATGTGTATCGCCATGAATATTTTTATAGCCTTTAAATATTTAAAATTATGACACGTTGAGTGCTAATGTTCTAATGGTATGATAATAGCCTTCCAAGCTGCAGGCCCGGGTTCGATTCCCGGTTGGCGCACAGTTTTTATTTTCTTTGTTGTTTTTAATTCAACAGCTTTGTAGTGTTATATAACACGTTGGTTTTTTAGTCACTAGGAAAGCCTTATTATTGAAATAATGTGATTCTTTTTGTGATCAACCAAACATCAGAATAATTTCACAAATTAACGATTCTTTTTGTTTAATTCCTGCCAGAATAAAATTATAAGACAACTATAACATTATTTAAATAAAATTTATTTAAATCATTCGCTCAAGCAATTCACCCAAAAGTTCACCATGGTTATTGACAGCACCTCCTTGAATGAAGCTCTTTGCTTTTCTACCTTTAAACCCTTTGAGGGGAGAATTAAGGTTCATTGGTACTAGGAAATTCGCAACATTCTTGATATCCTCCTTGCCATTAAAAATAACATCCAATAACTCCTCAATACATCTGTACTTTCCACCAAATGCATCCTCAATATTCTCATTGGTCAATTTCACCTTTGAGAAATTCAACTTACCTGCTCCTCTAGTGTAGACCAACTTTCTAAGCAATTCGTAGGATATTTGACCATAAGCAATATAATCCTTTGCACCATACAGCATATTCTTCATACAAGCGTTGTTTCTAACAATGACACACTGATTTATCTTTGATAATCTTAAAAGTTGAAGATTTTTTTTTGCTTTTGGTGGAACCCCATTAAGAGACCTTATTAAGATTGCCACGTAAAAATTTGGCTCGGCTGGACAATAGTATGAATTCGAATCATTCTTTTTGGCCTCCTCATCTTTCAAATTCTGCTTCACATCTTTTATAATTTTCTCTGTAACCATATTCTGATGCTGTAGATTTTTAACAATTCTATTAGCAAACTCCAATTCTTGGGTAGATTTTAAATGATTTATTTCAGATTCATATTCTTGTTTCCTTACTGTTGAAGCCGGAGCAGTGATCGACATTGGGGATAAAAATTTTAAAAAAATATTTTCAAAAAGTAATACTAAATAATACATTAGAAATAGAGAAAACCTTTCTTCATTTACTTTGTACAATATCTAATCATGTCGTGTACTAATTAAAATATTGCACAATTTCCATACTTTATATGATAACCATAAATATTTCCAAATCTCAATGTGCTCAAATCCAAAATTAAGGGGAAATGATTGATCTGACAATAAAATACTTGTCGAATTAAGCTAAAAGCTAGCAAAATTACCTTTTCTCAGACAAAAATCATATTTTTACTAGATTCCTAAAAATTTGCACAGAATTATGAAAACTGTTGGCAAATTTGTTTTTATTAACATCTATAAAATCAGCCATAAAGGCCCAGTATCTACAATAATCACAAATACCAATCATAGGGAATAATGATTATAGAGTTCTACATCAAAGTATGAAAACAAAAGAAGTCAAATTCTAAGTTTAACAATAATTTATTTGATATCAGAATATGCTTCTATGAAATATCTGATAAACTCTTCACTTACCTTAATGGAATAATCGTTTTTAAATAAAGCTTCCAGGGAAACAGTAGTAGGTTTTTCAAAAATTGTAGAAATACATCCTCCATTGGACTGAGAATGCTCCTTTGTAATTTTGTTGAAGAAAAACGCACAAGACTCACCCAAAAGGTTTGAAAACATTGTATTACTTTCTGTAGAAATGAATTTCCTTTCATAAAATTCTTTTACTGCAACGTTACTTTTCAAGTTACGAATAGTCTTGATTGTAGATCCAGCAAATGCTATTCTATTCGATTCCACGAAATCAAAAACATTTTCAGTCAACAATTCAATATCTGCTGAGTGCGAAAATTGAAGATCATGAACGATGTGAGATTTACCAGAACAAATAGATGGGTCTATCCAAATATAGGCCATATTGTATCTTTGAATGGTTTTGATCTCCATTGAGTAAAAAAGATCCCAGATATTTTTTAACAGCAGAAAATATCTATTACAAAACACATGAACTATACTAGGCTCATATGACTCTGATCTGTCATATCTGTATGTGATATACATTGCAAGTAATATATTGCTTTGTTTTTTAGATGAAATTAATAATGCTAGTAGCAACTTTAAGCTTAAAAGTGATTTCTCTCTTCTATATAATTCGATACATTGAGGAATCACATCACCTGTCAGCTCATTACGCAAATATTTGATAAGAACATTGTAAGTTTTATCGGGGTGATATTTCATATCTGTCAATTTAATCAATTTATGGATTTCAGTAAAATTTGTCAATTTTAAAATAAAATCGCTAGAAATCGCAATATCATGTGATCTAATAATACTATACCATTTGAAGTTAGCAGTATTCAAAAACTTTAATTCAATATTGTTGTCTAATGCATATTGATAGATTGAGAAGTCATCAATGTCGAGAAGAAGAGATTCTAGTTCCACATTGCTCAATTTCTTTGTATTAAGCTTGGCTTGGATTCTAATTACCTTGGTTAAAAAGTCAATACCTACCAATCGATCTAGTAAATATTCAATATCAATTTTAGATATTCTGTGTTCTTTTATTAAATAAAATAAAAGTACTTTGTCGATTTCCTTAGAATCTTTTAAATTTTGAATTAAATTTTTTGGGTTTGATTCAAAATAATTTACTAAAGTACAATAATCTGGATCAGTTTCAAAAATAGAAGTGGCCTGAGTCATGGCATCTTTAAAATTACCATCAATCAATAGAGTAACAATCTTCACCTTTATATCGTAGTTTTTATATGCATCAATTGAATCACCAAATTTTGGCATTGTGGGTAAAATTTTCCAAATTATTAAATGAATTTTTGTAAGTTTTATAAATCTGTATTTAAAAAATTGATTATTGATATAGCATTATTCCATTATATATATTGTTTGTTATTTTACAGTAATTAACAAAATACTGACTTAGTTCTGAGCGTAGATAGTTGCTTCAATGCAAATGTCGGTTTATATCAAAAACTAGTGATTATCCAAGCCATATATCTGTCTTGAACAATAGCTAGCTGCTGGATTCAATAGTTGGATATCCTAAAGTATATGTGCCATAATTAATTTATTGAAATCTTTATAACAAAGACAGATAACTTGTATGATAAGGTTAAAAGCCAAGAAATAGGTATTTAGTATTGACAATAACTCACTATTACTTTTGTCCTTGAATGCTTCTCAGATAGATATTGCTTTATTCAACTATTTAAAATAATTTAGAGATATTTTAATTAGAATCCCTTAAATGTCGACTTCAAATCCTACAAATAATATTGAAAAATATAGAAAAAGTTTCTTTGAATCACAAAAATGTTTAAAAGAATATCTAAAGGATGCAGGAAATTTAAATTTGTCCGGAATGTTGAAGGACTCCACAATTGTTTACACTCATACCATTAGATTAGCTATTCTAAAGGAGGAAGCAAGAGTAAAACAAATTAAAAAAATTGTCAATAAAATTAATAAAATAAAGAAGAAAGACATTCCAAATTCTGAGCTAGACGAAATTATTGAAAAATATTTTATTCAACTGGACCAAAGTATTTCCAATAAAAACAATATTACACATACCATGAATTGTTTACTAGATGATGAAGATATAAAAAATATCTCAAATGAACAATATACTAATATTGTGAAGCATGATCTTGATTCACTCAGAAAGCTTCCGGAATTTGTTCCCAAAGACACAAATATCACGAGGAATTTCACACAGTCTGCTTCTCATCATCAAATATTTAAGAAATATGAAATAATAGGTGATTCAGAAGTTCAAAAAACCCAAGGCAATTTTTCCTATTCCAGAGATTTTCAAACTGAGGGTAATAATTTGTTTCTACACACACAAAATAATATAGGCCCATTTCCAAATGAACGTACTGACAATAGGTTTCAAAGTAAAGAGCAAATTGATCGAAGTTTTTTAGATTTTCACAGAAATAACTTCGAAGAAGATCACCAACAAAATTAATTTTCGGAGGAAATAACATTTGAAACAATGATAATCTTCAAGATTATTATATAAAAATTTTCATGAATTCAGATATGAGAAACTTAGTATTTCTTCAAACTAAGTATTTCTTCAAACTAAGTAGTAATATCATTGAAATAACTTTAACAAATTGATAGAGATTAAATTGACTTTTGTGTAAGCTTATATCTATTTAATATATATGTAATTCAACAATTTTGATTAAAATATCGAGTGTCATCTATTCATTTATTTCCACGGCAACTGCACATCTATCTTGTTCATCATCTGTCAAAATATCTAAAAAAATCCACTTTTTATTTTTATCATCAAAAATTTCACTTATTTTTTTATCCAAATTGTCATCATATTTCTTACTCATATTCCAGTAAATAATCCTATTATTCACGCTTACCATGGATGGAGAATCACCAAAAACAACTTCCACCTCTTTTAGAATATCTTTCAACAAACCGTCTTTTAAGGTGATCCTGGACCAACAGGTATATTTCACTGTAAAATTTCCATCAAAGCCATCAATAACGTTAATAGAGTCTATCTTTCTCCTTTTATTAACGGTATAGGTATAGGCCTTGGGGAGCACAGGTTCAATAGTAGCTAGCATAGGGTGAGCCAAGTCTAAAAAAGAATTACGCATATTTAAGAAATTATCAGAGTTTGGATTAGCCACAGGATTATTTTTACTCTTATCATCAGTATCAGAATCATTGCTACAACGTTCATTAGAGTTTATATCTTCACTCGCATGATGAATCATATATTTCATTATTTCAATTGTAGACAATCCACTTACAATCGCAGTAGTAGTGGCAATGGCTGGAATAATCCTACCTGCAATTCCTATAATATGATGCTTACTATATTCCTTAATACCATAAACACGTGCACGTAAATTAGAAGCGGCATAAATAAAATCAGCATGCCACGAATCCTTATCAAAGTTAATAGAAAGAGGCTCACAGGAACTGTTTAATTGCTTCAAAATATCTTCAATGATTGCTATATTACTCAAATTGTTAGCATCTATAGTATCAGAATTAAGCTCTGATTCACTATATTTACTACAAATACCTTCATAATTAAATGTATTACTTTCACAATCATTGATTATTCCATATTTCTCTGAGTATAGTCTTACAACTGTTTCTATAAATAGCCTATGAATAGAATCAGTTAAGTCAAACTGAATAGCATTGGGAAGTCGTTTTGGAGGATTCCAAAAGGGCAATCCTTCCGTAGACTTAGAATCAGGAGGGAAGGTATCTAGTAGCTTCATTATGGAGTGATAATAGAAATCATTAAAGAGACAAACCGCTAATGTATATAGCGTACCAATACTGATACATTTTGTATCTTTATTGTCCTTTATATCCCTACAATTATCGTTGTTAGTGCAACTCTGATCACCATCTTCATTGTCTTGTGTAAATAATCTTTCAAATTCACCAGTAGCCCATTCGATTACATGTTCTATGCAGTTTGGGTATGATTTAATTGTACACAGTGGAATTGATCCACTTTCTGGATCACTAGTGGCAGAATAACACTCTGTAGCAAATGGTACAATTACTTGAACATGCCCTCTAGTCCCAAGTGTGCCTGCATCAATCATAGGAGTAAGTGTATTTATACATCTTGAATCCATATAGCTGCGAGCATTCACATTGTCCAAAGCATTACAGACAATATCGATATTAGAATAGAAATGATCTGTAAATATAGATTCAGAATCTAATCCTACAGGATGGGTAAAGAAACAGATGTTACTTGTGGTTCTTATGTCTTCTTTGGTAGTTATATCCACCAAATAACCAGGATTCATCTTATTACAATTCATACTTGCTGCTTCTGATTTCATCTTACCTACATCTTCCTCCTTAAAAAGAAATTGTCTGTTTAAGTTAGACTGTTCTATCGAATCCATATCGGTTACATAAATTTTTCCTGTTAATCCAATACCACTCATAACAAAATTCTTCAAATTCTCACATCCAATGGCCCCAGCTCCAACCAGAAAAACATTAGCATTCTGGATTTTAGAGAAATTACTGCGTCCTAGAATAGTAATGTAATCAGAATATCTATCCTTTATAGCATTATTACCTTCATCATAATTCTGAAACAGCCCATCTGCATGAAAATAATAAAACTGATCCAATGGGGTAAATTTCCCTGAAACAGCTTTTAATGCTTCCTGTGCCGCGAAACCTCCAATAACAGAACAAATCGGAGAAAGAAGAGTATCTTTGGATTTTACAAATTCTCTAACAAGCTTATCTCTTGGATCATTACTTATCATATCATCGACATTTAATGTATCAATCCTTTCCATATCTGTAAATAGCTCATGTAGTATTTCTTCATTAGTAAAATTGTATTTACACACTTTTTCTGGTTTATCAATTGCATCGCCTAAACTTTGAAATTTAAACTCCACTGGTTCCTTTATCTGTTCAAATTCATAGATCACATTTGGAATAGATGAGAATTTGTCTACAATGAATGAATTGGGAGAAGGTGTGGAAATAACAGTTAGTTTAGCCATAGTCGTAATACTTTGATGATTTTCCAAACCCTTGGGTTGATTAA